CATTCCCCCTCCTCTCCTGCATCCCAGTGGGATATTCCCTCCCCTTCTGCATCCCGACAGGACATTCCCTTCCTCTCCTGCATCCCGACGAGGTTGTCTTCCCTCTCCTCCTGCATCCCGACAGGACATTTCCCTCCTCTCCTGCATCCCGACGGGACATAGATGCATAGATGGGAAAATACCTTTGCTAAAGGCTGTGAGTATGTGTCAAAATGGACTTAGAATGTTCAATACTAAGAGTATGTGTTGCCTTTTGTTTTTTTAAACTGTGAAATGTACCAAGTGAAATATATGAACTCTCAGATGTATCACTGTCAAACTCTGAAATATCATGGAATCACAGAATATCCTGAGCTGGAAAGGACTCACAAGGATCATCAAATCCTATTCCTGGCCCTGGACAGGACATCCCAAGCATCACATCATGTGCCTGAGAGCTTTATCCAAAATAAGTGAAATATATGCACTCTGAGATGTATCACTATCAAACTCTGAAATATCACAGAATATCCTCAGCTGGAAAGGACCCACAAGGATCATCAAGTCCTATTCCTGGCCCTGGACAGGACATCCAAAGAATCACAACATATGCCTGAGAGCTTTCTCCAACATATGTCAACATATCAAATCTCTGAGCATCTCTCCACGGAATCCCTGGGATTTATGAGCAGAGTTATACATCCACAGGGTCATATCTCATTCCCCACTGTAAATTCATGTGGGTTCTAAACACAAACCTGCCCCCTGTGATTCTTTAGTGCAGCAACGATACACCTTCAGAACAAACCTTTGTGCACACCAGTTTGCAAACCTAAAATGAAATACACTTTATTTATGTTTAGCTGTGAGCAGAGAAGCACATTTCAACCATATTCCCCTGGGAACTCACATGTTACAGAACTTCTGTGGCTTAGTGCAGTAGTTTGTCCTGACCCTGTCCCGGACACAGTCACTGTAGTCAGTGTTGCATTTCCCACACTTGCAGCTCACAGCCACGGGGTAGGAGTAGTGAGGGATGGTGTGGTGGGGACAGCCTGGGATCACCACTGTCCTGTACAGCATCTCCTTGTACGTGCACACGTTCTGTGACAGAGCACTCTTGAGTAGCAGCTTCTTGCCATTGCTGTCCTACAAAGAAAAAAAAAAAGAGATGTGGTGTCTCACTGAGGTGTGTGAGTGCCTGAAACTGCCTGTGGTGTTTTCTCAGCTCTGCAGCGATCAAACCTGTTACACTCAGCCCAACTTTTGCCAGTGTGCTCTGTTCACAGCTGTAGTTCTGAGTCTGCCTGTGACTGGGGCTCTCCCCACATAGATATGTTCACTTTGCTTTTAGGGTTTCACTAATCCCCTTGGCTCAGAGTGTTCCCAGCCTGCCTGTGACTGGGGCTCTCCCCACAGAGATATGTTCACTTTGCTTTTGGGGTTTCAATAATCCCCTTGGCTCAGAGTGTTCCCA